TAAGTTCAATTGCAAGAGCTTTGAAAACAAAGAGGAAGTATGAATTGTCAGGATCTACAACGGGGCACCTCTAGGCCATGGTCCTACCTGCTAGGAGCCTTCCCCAGAGGAGCACAGGCCAGGAGGAAAAGCCAAAGTGAAATCTGAGGAGGGTATTAATGACTAAAACACTGAGTTTTCACCAGTATATGTTTCTTGCCTAAGGCATTCCCAAAAGCAATAATCCCAAATACTTAATTTCCCTTCTGCTAAAGGATAGAGTTTAAAAAAAAAAAAAAAAGGATACAGAATAGCTCTTCCTTAGTTCAGCCTGCAAAAATACTCCAGAACATGTCTTGCTAATAGGAATGGGCTGAATGGCAAAAACAAGAACAGGTATCTAGTGCCTCTCTTGGTTTCACAAATGAGTCACAAACTAACAGGAGAGCAAGACATGTAAATGTGTATACAGCCTTATGTGTTATATCTTATTTAATCTTCTGATGCATAAGATACATCTGGGATGACTGCAGAATCCAAATGTAATCCAAAAGAGTCAACTAAATGCAATGTTAAAGTATCTCCTTTGGCATAATGGCACACGCCTGTAATCCTAAGCACTCAGAAGGATAGGCAGCGGGGTTAAGGTTAGGGTTAGGGCAGGATTAATGTGAGTTCCAGACCAACCTGGTATACAAAGTGAGCTCAAAGGCCAGCCCTCATTGCATAGTGAGACCCTGTCTCAAAAAAAAACAAAAAACAAACAAACAAAAAAAAACTCAAGTTTGCTCTTTTTATTGTTTTGTTTCTGATATCAAAAGGTTAACAAAATAAATGTGCTTATAATGGCTTCAATTTTATTCAAAGTCGAAATAAGGGCCAGGAATGTAGCTTGGAGACACAGTGCCTGCCTGGCAAGCACAAGGTTGTGAGTTCAACCCCCCCCCAAGGATATTCAAAGTCAAAATAAACATGCAATAAATATAGCAGCTATAGGTTTAATGTTAGCACATGGACAGAATGTATTTCACTATTATTCTGAAAAAATGTTTTAAATACTTTCATTCAAAAATATCATAGGGAGGGGCTGGGGGTTTAGCTCAGTGGCATAAGCTCCTGCCTTGAAAGCAGGCAGTCGTGAGTTCGATCCTCCGTACCGATAAAAAGGAAAAAGACCAAAAAAAAAAAAAAATCATAGGGGCTGGGGATTTAGCTCAGTGGCATAAGCGCCCGCTTGGCAAGCATGAGATCGTGAGTTCGATCCCCAGAACCAAAACAAAAATATCATAAAGATAGTTTAGAAAATTAAGTGTGTTGGGGCTGGAGGTTTAGCTCAGCGGCATAAGCACCTGCCTTGCAAGCAGGCGGTCGTGAGTTTGATCCCCGGTACCGATAAAAATGAAAAAGACCAAAAAAAAAAAAAAAAAAAAGAAAATTAAGTGTGTAGAGCTGGGGATTTAGCTCAGTAGCATAAGCGCCTGCCTGGCAAGGGCAAGGTCATGAGTTCAATCCCCCTACACCAACAAAAAGAAAGAAAATTAAGTTTGTCATAAAAGTGCTAGTTTTGATTACAGTATGTTCCTACTTAATGAGAGTACTGTGTGATGACAGTCAGTATAAAAACATTTTTGGTAGACACAAGAGTTATATGAAAATAATTCTTTTTTTTTTTTTTTTAAGTTTGTGACTTGTACCAAGTGTGATGGTACATGCCTATAATCCCAACTTGGGAGGCTGAAGCAGGGAGATCACTTGGGAGTTCAAAGCCAGCCTCAATTACGTAATGAGATTATCTCAAAAAGCCAAAATGAAAAAAAGTTTGTGGTTTGTGACTTTAGTAATTTACTCCTATTTTATGATATATTTGCTTATATGCATTTCACTGCATACTAATACTTTCCCACATGTTAAAAATAACTAGTATACATATAATCATGTAAAAAATGGTTTGCAGTCACATTTAATGTCAAATATTATGTCACAGAGATTTTAAAGTATCAGAAACTTTTGCATAGGAAGCCAAAATGAATATTTAGAATAACACACAACCTCAGTATTCAGGACAGAGGAAATGTTTCAGATGATCGGTTCTCAGATCTCCACATGCCAAGCCCTCCAAGTGTATTTCTTATTTCTAAGCAGCTACCTTAAACCTCTGAGGCAATTAAATTTTTTTCAAAGTGTTTACTACTTCACAAAATAGATTAGTTATGACTGTGACACTTTTATAGCACTTACGATTGTCAGACCCACCATCCTAAGATCTGTCAGTTTTTACTTATGGTCAATGTAAAACTTACAGATTGCTGGAATTTAAGCTATAAAGACTGTATCAAAGTAAAACAATGCTTGTAGATCCTTCATTGTTTTCAGGCCCTGTTTTCCTTCAGAGATGATTGATTCCTTTATCTTTCTGCTGATAAAAGCAGAACTTCATTGCAGTGTTATTATTGCTGAGAAAAACACAACATGCCCTGCAGTGTTAAAATAATTTAAAACTGCAAAAGCTTAAAAATTCAAGAGCTATTTTCTTCTAAGGGCTGCAAGTGCGTACTATGCCCTTGGTCCAAGGAAAGTTTCTTGTGTTTTAATTACTACAAAAGGAAAAACTGGACTATAAAAGTTCTTGTAGAAACCAATGTTTAAACACCTTACCCTTTCAGCATTAGAAATTTGTAATTTTTTTCACAAATAATAGTAATTCAAGAGAAAATACCATTTTATCACAACACAACAGCACAGCCTATGACAGGAAGTTCTGTAAGGTCCCAGAGACAGGCAATAAAGGACACGCACACATCCACCTGCCTGGCCCAGGCACAGGAGTGCAAAAATGAAGGCCACCAAGACGACGATGATGTTGCCAGGCAGTCAACGCCCCAAGATCTCTGATTTTAAGGGACATATAAAAGATAGGCCCCATTTCTCCATAGCGATAAACTTATCAGTCAGTAGATTCTCAAATTAAGCCATTCTTGAGTACCCATGTTTAATTATTAGTGGGTGTTTTCACTATCTGAGCTACACCAAAGAAATAAGCACAGCACTTTTCTTAGATGTCCTATTTTCTCACAATCAGCTACTAACAGCAAATGGGAAGTATGAAGGCCAGACCCTTTGGTATGTGGGAAAAAAGAGGGCCATGAGACAGAAGTTGGTAAGAATCTAGAAGACACAGGGTTGGGGATTTAGCTCAGCGGCATAAGCGCCTGCCTTGCAAGCAGGTAGTCGTGAGTTCAATCCCCGGTACTGATAAAAAGGAAAAAGACAAAAAAAAAAAAAAAAAAAAAAAGAAAAGAAAAGAAAAAGAATCTAGAAGACACCTTGGTCTGGCCCTGGAAGCTCTCTGGGCTCTGGCACTGCATACCACAGCGGGGCTGCACGCTGGGCAGGCAGGAGGGGGAAGCCTGCACTGCTGCCCTCCATGCTGGAGGCAGGAGCTACCCCTCCTCCCAGCCTTGCCTCCTCCTGTGCTGGCTCTTAGACCCAGGTGTGAGAAAAGTAAGCATTTAAGGTAAACACTTATTATTACCAAGAGGAAAAAAAGCACAAATGTGATTTTTGTAATTAAAGTTTCATGATTAGGACTAACAAACTCAGGCTGACAATATGCAGTCTACATGGCTTCCAGAAAAACCTTACGAAAAAACTGAAGAAAACAAACCCTTCAACTGTCTACCAGCCTGCCATCTAGTCACTGGAAGATTCCACTGACATGTTGTGACTGTTGATGGGTGCCAAGGATCTCTCATCTGATGCCTACCCTACAGAATGAAGACATGCATGAGGCAGATACACACGTTCCACTGCCCTGTATCATCCACCTCTCTCAAATCCCAGCATCCAGAACCAGACAATTTTAGTGAGTGATTTTTTTTCCAGACCTTCCCTCAAAGTAAATGTAAGGATTCAAAACTACTTAGCTTCTCATACATTTCCAGAAAAAGCTGGTAGTTCTATGTTCATATTGCCAGGCAATGCCATTATTAAGTCAGTTTTCCAACTCCGTATATCAAGTTTCAGGGCTGATCGTCAATAACAAATGAACTTGATCATTTTTATTTAATAGTCTTTGATTGTAAATGCTTCTCTAGAAACCAATGTAAAGTTTTCCGGTATGTTAAGAAGGTATCTTATCTGCATTAATATAGAAACCAGAAGGGATTTTAATATAGCCTTCCCAGGAAAAGATGAAACCCAATGGGTTTCATTGAGATAGAAAAATCACCCCAACATCCACTAAAGTCTACCATGTTCAGCTGCATACACATAAAAAAATGCAAGGACTTAAATACCTCTAGAAACCTGGTTGCATCTTAAATCGTCTTCTTTTCACTTTTGCTGCTAATCAATCAATCTGTGCTCTAGAAAATGCCTGCACAGGGGCCAGGGATTTACTCAGTGGTTCAAGTGCTTTCCTGATAAGTGCAAGGTCATGAGTTTGATCCCTGGTACCAAAAAGAAAGAAAGAGAGAAAGAAAGAAAATGCCTGCATACTACCAATTCATCCATTGCAAGTTATCTTGAAACTAAACATGCAAGGACATTTTAATATGGTCTTGATTTGTGTGTTAACATCACAAGGCCAAAACTCCTGTGAGCCTAAATTTTATTTCCCAAGTTCTAGAAATGTATTGTACAGATTATGAATTAACCTTTCCCAAATAGACATTTAGTTCAGAAAAAAATTTCCCCACTGGAAGGCTATTTGTAGAGTGCTGGGAAGTAAACAGAATTTCAGTACTCCCCAGAACACTGGATTTAAACTGTAAGAGAATGCATCCAGCCTTCTTTCAGCTCCACTCCCAGATCACTTGGGAGGAGGGTAGGTGCCCAAAGGTATTGTCACCAACATAATTCAGATGCAAAATGGGTAGACAAGGCACAAAATCGGTTTGGCTATTCATTCATCTGAGTCTGAGTTGAAAAAGAAAGCTTAGGGCACTACTGTACTGCTGACCATTCTCATCTAAGGAGAAGTCTGGGACCAGCACATCCTCAGAGACAGCAAGGGGCCTTACCATGTCTCCAGGCTTGACTGAGACGGCTACCACCACTCCAGGCATCGGGGAGCACAGAGTGCTGCTTGTGTCTTCAGCCACTTTCTCCAGCATGAATTTGTTCAGTTCGGCAGCGAGTTTGGTTAAGACATGCACTTTGTACTTGAGGGAAAACAAAACAAAACCATAAAGGTGTTTAAATGATGAACTTTTCCTACAAAGTATTGCCCATTCAAAATAAGTTTTAATTTTAAACTAAAATTACAATAACATAAAAATTAAATAAAAGTACGATAATGTCCTTTAAGTCAAATGTTGTAAAATCCTTGTACATAGTATCAAAATATATTAATTTTTTTTCTGGCATATGTTGTGACCCAATTATATTCTTAAAATTCCTTGAAACACTCAAACTACTTCAATTATTAATCATCGATATATAAGAATCACCATGGGCCCTTAAGGAAAAACATACAAAAATTTTACAAATGAATAGAAAATAGCGAAAATTTTGCTTGTATTCCCTGCAGTGCTTATGAACTTATCAGAAAAAGGTGAACTCCCAAATTGGGTTGACCAACACAACGGCGAGGGTGTAAATGCCCACCAGTAGATGGCAGCAGATTGCTGTCTCAAACCACCTGCACTCGCGCAAGAGCTTCTGTACTACTTGTATCAATAACTTAAAGACAAAGGGTTTCAGTGTTCACTTGAGGCAAAACAATCTTTGAAATCCAAATATTTTTCAGTAACAAAATTTTACATTAATAATAGAAAAGGTGCTTTTCTTTTCAGGCAAGGTATCATGTGGTCTTCCTAATGTAACAAGATAAAGATAAGATAAAATAAAAACATCTTCTGAACTGAGACCATAGATCAAGATTTTGGAAAACCATATACACGACCAACTATTTTCGTGGTACCTTTTGTAGATGACTTTCAAACACTGAGGGGTACATTAAGGCAAGTCTGGTCAAACAGAACATTTCTAATGGAGAATTCCTACCTGACAGGGAAAATCCTAGATCTCTGTGAACAAACAGAGGAGCCACAATTGTTCTATCAGATGAAAAGGTCTGTGGAAGAGTCCTGGGGAAACTGCAGCCATCACTTAAAGATCTCTGGATTCCCACAAGATCCAGTCTCCCAGGTGAGGCAGAAGCACAAAGCAGCACTGACATGCTGCAGGAAAGCTGGGTACCCCGCAGCCTCTCATGGGTGCCATGCTGGCAGGATGCTGGGATTGGAAGACAAGCTGGGTCACCCTGGGATTCAGTGCAGGGACTCAGAAACCTGAAAGTGGGCTCTCTGCAGGGCCTATTTGGAAGGGTTGGGGGAGGGCCAACTGAAGAGCTCTGAAGGCCTAAGTTCCAAGTAGATTTGTGACACTATGACAGGTTGAATAATAACATCTTTTGCATGTTTCTTTACTCCTGAGTGTATGTTTTGCAATCAAGACATACAAGCATCTGCCAGTTTCTGAAGGATATGATCCTTGAGTGAAATTACAGAGCAAATAAAAGCTTTTTGCTCCTATTAAAATTCATCTGAGTCTTAAGTGGTACAGAAGAAAAGCAAGAAGAGTGCATGCTGCTGTCAGTCTAATAAACATTCTGGGCAGAGGGACTATTTATCAGTGTTGAATTGTACCTCCAGTCCTTCATTAAATCTATGGGGGTGGGTAAAGGAGGAGAAGGGGAATATAATTGGGCCAAATTGCACAGTTTTAGTATCTGTACTCTGTCTGCCTTGCAAAGGAAAATCCAGGATCACTTTAGGAATGAGAGTTAATGGAAAGTTACTTTTCTAAGGGGCATCACCCTGGGATGCTCCTTCTAATGGTCTGGTCAGCATTGAGCCTCCTTATTAGTTTTCAATGTAATACACAGATTCCACCCCCCCCGTTTTGTGCACAGTTTGACTTCAAAGTATATACTCTGATTTTAAGAAAGTTATCTGTAAATACTGAAGAGAATAATACAGTGTATGGTCTTTCACCAGAGCGTATACATTTAAGAACTAATTTTAGCTAACTTATATTACAGATAAGCCTGAATAAAGTCCTAAGGCTGTATTCAGCACCATTTCTCCCCAGAAATTACTAGATCCAGACTCACACTGGATTCTCTTACTATTTTTATAATTTTCATATCTTCTGGATTCCTTTCACTGTAGGGCTCCTGCTTTGCTTGGAAAGAGATGTAAAAGAGTCATCAAACTCAATGCCTTTAGATGCAGGCTTTGTTACTGATGAGATGTTCTTTTTCTTTTGTATTTGTTTATTGTTCTTAAATCTGTTTGGGGATAAGCGACTTATTGTAATCACAAGTAAAAAATAACAGTGGAGTAAACTCCTCAGGAAAAGCCTGGCTGCACACAGTTGGCTTAGAAATGACCTCTCTGAATATAAAGAGGGGAGGCACAGAGAAAGTTCTCTTCTTAAGATTACCTTTGATGTTGTCCTGACCCTGCCTGCGTCCCTGTGCCCACACAAACACCCTCTTGGTGACTCTTGTGATGCTCATGGGGCATGTGCCTAGCTGCAACCCAGAGGGTGCAGCATATGGGGCCATCCATGTGAACAGTCTAGTGAAAACTGGAAGCCTTTAATACCCCAAAAGAAGTAATTTAAAAACAGACACAGGGCTGTCAGAACTTCTGATCAAAATTGATAGCTTGTGGTTTCTTTGGATTCTTTGAGAACCTAGAACAACTAGGTGAGCGAGTTCAGGAAAGTGCCCTACGGTGACTTTGGGGTTCAAGTTCAGTTTTTTGGATGGTGCACTGAAAAAACCCCTCGGGTATGCAAAATTCCCCAGAAAGAAAAGATTTTGATTTTCTGTTGTCTTCAAGCAGAAAAATCACATGATTGATATTTTCAGGGTGTGCAAGTTCAAGGCCTAGAAGGCAGACAAGATGGACAAGCGAGCTCTGAAAGATGTCAGGGTTTCACCCTGTGTAGGTCAGGAGGAAGCAGCTGAAGAATGAGAAGCTGCTTGTTGGTGGGACTGGTGGTGTACAGTGGAGCTGGAAGTGGATCCGGGCCAGGCTCCCTAGCAAATGGAACTTCACTAGGCTGACTTTGGGGAGCTGTTCTCCAAATCACCATTACATGAATAGAAAGTTGTTGAAAATACTTTGCCATGTCACTTTGAGCAGAGAACAGGTTTAGCCTGCACCAGCTCTTCAATCCATAATGTGACAACAATGGAAAAGAATGAGGTTAGCTAATAAACCAGTTATGTAAAGTCACCCCCAATCTAGATCTCCTAGCAATTAATTTTATGGTATCTACAATGTGAAAGCATGTCTAACAAGAAAATTTCTCCCAAAAAAGAAAGAAAGAAAATGAATCAAAATGAATCAAAGAAAGAAAGAAAATGAATCACAGCAGATGTGAAAGGCACAAGCAGAAAACCACAAGAACTCAGTGCTGCTCTTTAGGAAAAGCTCTGCTCAGGTGGGCACACAGAACAGACTGCCATCCTGCTCAGTCCTTGGTTCATTTAGGACGCGCGCCTCCTTAAGGAGTTTGAGTTTATGTTTGGTTTCTTTTCCAAGACCTCTAGAGGGCCTAGTGATTGTACCGACCCCACTGGCTACTGTTCTGGTATGCTTACATACAGTGGTTTCAGCTGGAATTTCAGAATCTCTTAAAGTGAGCTCACCTCTATTTCCACTTTCAAATCATTCTTCCAGTGACAACCAGGATATGTACAGTCAATCAATTACTAATTTTTTTCATGTCAATTACTGACCATCTAACCTATATGGAAGAGTCAAAGGCCAGTGATGAACCTTTACTATAAGTTATTTTACATTGATTATCTTCACATCTTGAAGCACTGGCCCAAAAACTATGCCTGACCTTTTCTAAGCATGGTGGCAGACACATTTTCTTTCAAAGGCTCTCTTCCTTTACAAGGTTTTACATCTTCTGGCCCCACAAGGCTTAAGCAGTAGGCTGCATCTTTCTTTCCACGGTATGAAAGCAAATGCTCCAGCAGTCCCCAAAGGTCTACTTCCCTAACTCAGAGCTGCAAAAAATGATCACTGTTTTTAACGTGACAGAAGTAATGAACTACACAATGACACATTGTTAAAAACATGTCAGAAAACATTTAAGTGGAATCAGAATTTTAATTTATCAGTTAACACTTGCAGGAAAACACGCCAAGGTCCAAAGCTACACACAATGCACTTCCCTCTCTCTGCACATAGGGCCTAGTAGTCGATTCCTAGAAAAAACAATTTATCTCCAAGAAACTGTTCTAAACACACAGAATCAAAGCCTGAGACAGTCCTCTTGGCGTCACAGCTCAGGCAAAGGTGAAAGGAACAGAGAGCAGTGAAAGCACTGGGCCTGGCAAGCCCCAGCCCCGTACAGCTGCAGTGGTGGAGCAGTCTGTTAGCATAATGCTGTGACGACTCCATCAGCACAGTCTCAAGGTAGCTGTCAATCAGGATGCATCATTTAATTCAACAGCACTCGGAGGACTTTCTCCTACAACCCACATGACAGCATATCTACAGCTCTATTTATATCAGCGCCCAGTTGTGTTTACAACGCTGTAGTAATTAGAAAAGATGCAACAGGCAGCAATATTATTGAGATTTCCATTTTGCAGTAGTGCCCGGTAAAGTGTGATCTTGCCTCACAGAGTCAGGCTAAATGACAAAAGGCTATTTTCTTCAATCTCCCAGCTCTGACAGCACTTCATTTGCAGCTATCTATAATTAGATTAATGGTGTAGTGCAGCACAAAGCAGGCCCACTTCACATCAGATAGCATATGAATTAGGACAAACACTTATTTCAATTCCAGGCAGAGAAAGCAATGACTGGGGTATTTAGCATACCCTTTATGGTGGAATGAGATGTTAATTGTGTACCATTACCTCTAAACTGCTTGCTTGTTGTATAAATCACTGTGCTAATTGATGCAGAGATAGAAATGTAGCCACAGGCAAGAGAGCAAAGGAATGAGAGCTGAAGATGGAGGATAAGGGATTATCGAATAAAACCATATGGAGATGAAGTTCCTTTGAAACCTCTGCTTTCTGCCCACAAGCGGGATTTCTTTAAGTACAGTAAAACTTCAACACTGGGAAAGAAAAAAAGCCACTTTTTACAAGTACAAATTTCTTGTAAAAAAAAAAAAA